TTGTTTACTAACGTCTGTTGCAGGTATGGCATCCAGCGGGTTCTAGTTTCTGATAACGGCCCACAATTCCATGGACGAAAGATAAGGTCTTGGTGTGAAGAGATGGGCATTAAGCAGCATTTTCCATCTGTAGCGCATCCACAAGCAAACGGGCAGGCCGAGGTGGCCAACAGGACCATATTAAGGGGTTTGCAGACTAGGCTTGACAAATCTTCTAGTGCATGGGTGGATGAGCTCAACACAGTGCTTTGGGCGTTCGAGTGTTGTGCAAATTGATGTAATGGCTTAAGTCCGAGCTTTTTTGAGTTCGGGTGCTGTGCAAATTGATATAACGGCTTAAGTCCGAGCTCTTGTGAGTTCGGGTGCTGTGCAAATTGATGTAGCGGCTTAAGTCCGAGCTCTTGTGAGTTCGGGTGCTGTGCGAATTGATATAGCGGCTTAAGTCCGAGCTCTTGTGAGTTCGGGTGCCGTGCGAATTGATACAACGGCTTAAGTCCAAGCTCTTGTGAGTTCGGGTGCCGTGCGAATTGATATAGTGGCTTAAGTCCGAGCTCTTGTGAGTTCGGGTGCCGTGCGAATTGATATAGCGGCTTAAGTCCGAGCTCTTGTGAGTTCGGGTGTTGCGCGAATTGATATAGCGGCTTAAGTCCGAGATCTTGTGAGTTCGGGTGTTGCGCGAATTGATATGGCGGTTTAAGTCCGAGCTCTTGGGAGCTTGGGTGCCGTGCAAATTAACATAATGGCTTAGAGCCGAGCTCTAGTACGGCTCGGGCACTGCTTAAAAGATGGACAGCTTAAGGTCGAACCCTGTTGGGTTTGGGCGCTGTGGGTGATGATGTGATGGCTTAAGGCCGGGCCCTTATACGCTCGGGTGCTGTCAGTATCATGCAGACGATGTGTTTGAGCTAGTGGAGGCTCGGGGGCTCGATGGGCGCGCAGAATTAGCCGGGTGATTGGACGACACGTCCATCGACTCCGCTTTTGGGTGTCCCGTGCATCGGCGCGGCATTCATCTGCGCGACATTCTTCCACCTTTGAAGTAAGTGCGTCATGTGG